TTCTGAAGCCACTCTCTGACAGGAAATACAAAATGTCTAGTAAGAAATCTGTAAAGACGTACTTTTGCGGGTCCAATACAGAGTGAGTACTCATTACAAGAACATTCCATCCAATCGTCATCTCTTCCATAGCACTTGCCGAGCTGAAAATGGCAATCGTTGCTTGTCTGCCTACTTCTTTTGAACTATTCAGAATCCACAGGGTTTCTAGGCACTAACTATGCAGTCCCAATCCGTGATGGCTAATAGTAAGCAAGAACGGATGTGATGGTCGTGCTAAAATTAAAAGGTCCAATTTTATTGCAAATCAACTTTTGCCTTTTGAAGCGCTATCTGAGTGAACAGAATGAGGCCGAAGTTGACGATACCCAGTTCTAACAGAGTGGAGAAGTGCACATACCGCCCAAGAGTGGATGAACTTTCTGAAGGGCTCTTTGACAATGACAGTATCTGTCGAGATTTGTGGGTCATCCGATGTAACCCCATAGGATCATTTTCGGCGAGGTAAGTTGAAGTGAAAGGCCTCGGAAGACAATTCGTACATCAAGCAGGAGCTCCAAGATGCACTGGCACTTCTTATTTGAAATGTCACTCCCAGTGGTCACCGGTCTGCACAACGACATCACGAATGTGGGCAACTGTGTCTTTGGGTTCAATAAAACCTAGGTATATCGATAGGACTTGGAAAGTTATTAACAAATATGGAGATTAAAACTGTGAAAAGAAGTTGTGAGCGTTCAGAGTTTGCATGCTTAAGCATGGAGAGATAGTGCCAGTTGATAAGCGCAGTTGCCCGCAAAGGCCACAAAGGTCACCGTGGCGTAATGGAAGTGCTCTCCTTTTCCGGGTGAGCGATGAGGGTTTGCTTCCTGTTGTCGTTTTTGCTTTTGCAAAACGTGTCTTCATCCGAATAAAAGTTCCTGAACTGCTTTTTCTCACTGGTTTAAGTCAACGCTTTGTTTCGGCTATCATGCGATCCTATCTATCGCCTATCGCCGCTCTTAGTGGAATTTCTTGAAGTGGAGGAGAGAACCCCGAATTGTTCAAAACAGGCATGCATGAAAAACTGAATACTGATGAAACAATCCAAGAAATGAGTGAAGCAGTTATGTTGTTCACAAAACATGCAAACTCTGAACGCACAACTCCTTTGGTAGACTCATTTTACAGTTTTAATTTCCATATTTGTTAATATCGGTATACCTAGGTTTCTATTTAAAGTTCCATGGGGAATTGAAACCCTTCCCTGGTCAGACTATAACAAAAAGAGTGTTTGTTCTTCTTGGACTCTAAACTCGAATTCGATTTCTCCTAACTTGTAGTATCTAAGTCTTTTTTCTAAATTCAATACTATTTCGGTATCTGAATCGAACCGGAGCCCACTGCCATGTAAGTACATTTAATACATTATCCAGTAACTTTTTCATAAATCCCATACAATTCACTATTATTACTTTGATCTCTTATCATTTAACTCTTCGTTTGGCGACTGGTATTGGTCTTCGGCTATCATGAAGTGCCCTCATCTCAGCCAAGTGTACACGTCGACATCTGCTGATATCCAAGTTCAATACTCCTCATCCTTCTTTTTCTCCCTAGTGTTAGATCCGTGCTATCCCGGGGGTCCGCCATTGCCTCGTTCTGGCACAATCCTTCTCCACCACCACATCTTTGAGGCTCCTCATGGTGGTTTCTCATCGGCGTCGCACTCAATTGTTTTGTTTATCGAGTGATCCGGAAGGCTTCTCAGTAAGTACAATTGATGCTTTTTTTTTTGGACAGCTGTAGTAGGCTGGTAGCAGGAATGTGAAGTCCCAAAGACAACATCAAGTCTGCACTATTGCTTGTTACTTTCCTCCAGTGGAAGTTAGAGGTATTCTGTGTCAATGGTGAAGCTGTGCTGAAGCCCTGTCTTGAACTATCACCTAAATATTGCCTTTAGGCAAAATTTAGGCATACTCTCTTGTAATTATAAGCAGCAAGTTATTTTGATCCCTACTATTCGGCTGAATGCTTACCCCCACTTTCGAAGAATGTACAAAGCCTCGTTCAATCTTCGCATGGCTACAGTCGTCATATTGATGTTTGAACTTTATACACGGATAAAACTCTTCGGATTCCTGAAATTTCGCATGTCACCTCAATATCTTCGGTAATGGCTTATCAAATTGAAAAGTTCTTAGTTAGGATAGCTTAAAACTTTTTGCGTTCGACTGCGATGAAACTTTATGGGACTTCAGTTGATACTGAAGGAGTCAGAAATGATTCAGTGGCATCTCGGGTACGACAAAGTTTCCTGCAGCATTTTTATTGAGCTTCCAGATATGGCACATTTGCTGACTAACTATTTGTCAAGATGTGCAGTCAGTTGATGAGAGTGATAACGTCAAGATAAGGTTAACGGATAGGGCTGATTACAGAATTCGGTCACAACGGCGTCATTGGAGAAGAAACTCATTAGTAATCGGTTGTGGTGAAAGGGCGTGCTCAGATGGGGCAGTATAGAAGCAGAATATGGGCTCTGATTTTGAAGTTATGCAGCTTTCACTCATATAGCCTACATGTATGGGTCAGAAGAGCCCTGGTAACAAAAGACCGAAATCTTACATTTTTTCGTGATGTATACAGGGCCGTGCTCAACGGAGAACTGGTAGCAGTAACGGTGTTTTTGCCGGGAGAAGGTCGTCATGGTTCGAATATTGCCTAATTATGGAAGAGAGCTTCTCTCTTGCCTCTGAGGTAAGCTCTATGCATGGCTTAATCTACAGGGTATGGAGTTTAGAATCGCTACCGCTCACGAAATTATGTATCTAAATGTGTACACTGAATTTCATGTGTCGCATGTCATAATCTAAACCCCGTCTGGTTCAACTGGTGCTGCTTGGTCGCTCAGTTAAAAGCAGGTCATTACGCGCGACCTTTGTATGAACACGGAATTATCCCACGAAATTTGAGGAGATGAGACGATCGGGAAAACCTGTGTATTGGCGGCGTTGAAATTCGTTATTCGATTATTTGTGAGTTGCTGTTAGGCATCTGAGCCATACGTTATGGTCTGTTCAGTATGTATGATTCGAAGACGGCTACCTTTTGATCAATTTCTATTTCACTGGTGAAAACCATCGCCACAGCCAGTTGGCGCCACTGAGAAACATTTGTAAACTTACCCTCTCTTTTATAGTGGTGTCACAGAGTACTTTGATTTTAGCCTTTTGAATTGAAAGGACGGGTAACGAAAGAAGCCATAATATAGTCCACCATGGGAACATCGTTGTGGAAGTGGCAATTCAGTATGGACTGCTGACCTCACCTGGGTGCTTCTTTTAAATGATGTGCAATCAGAATAGGGTGTTTGTTGATCACTATATATGATATCATTTCTGGGAAAAATCATTGCCTCGAATATATTAACCGTTCAAGAACATCTATGTATCCCACAACTAGTCCACTTCCATTGTTGGTACAGTACATTTTGAGGTTGCCGAAAGGAACTTTCCGAGAAAGAGCTTTGACCGATGTTTTCAATAAGAAGGGCTAGAGCGGAGGAATTCAGCGGAGCTTTTGTTATGGAAAATAGCTCTGCACCAGATTTCCACTTTTTGCGTCTTGTATGTGGCAGGTCTGTTTGTCCGTTTCATGGGATGAAGTGCCTATGAAGAGAATTCACAGAAATCTGTGTCAAAAACTGCTTCTNCTTCTCTTTTATAGTAGAGAACGTCTCGACGTCACTTCTCTAAAATCTTGGCAACCGCGATGATAACCTTTCTGATGTACAGTTTTCTGACGTTTAGTCAGTCAATTGGCAGAAGTAACTGTGTAGCTATTGAGCTAGTACACCCATATCATCGAAGGATGTGGAGAGGTGTCGTCAAATGGCTTCAGTTGCTTACTCATGAGCCGCCTTGATTTGCGAACTTTTCGAAACCATTAAGACTCTACACTTCCTCCGACCACCGGTAAGAATCCATTATGCCGTACTTTCCTTACTCACTCTTGTAGTGGTTTACAGATGACTTTCGTTTCGAACCGGAAGATGTCCTAGCCGTGAAAAGATGGTTTCTTTGAAGGTAGTGGTACACGATTATGGATTTGAAGTTTTCGCTCATCTCACATACTCCTCCCACCAGGCAGAATAAAAGACAACGAATAATTGGTCATCATTTTTCTCGACTCAGTTCCGAAAAGCAACAGGAAGGCAAGCTCTCCTGTTATTGAGCAGGGGGACCAGTAGTTATTCCCACGACGTTTGCACAATTGCAACTCCTCGTTTAACTTAGCCAATTGTAAGCTGTCGCTCATGGGCCGATTGGCCTTCTCGTTCAGGGAATAGGTTCTTTCCGAAGATGCAGAGGTTCCTTTTCTCTAGCACACTACATTATACTGTTCCTCCTCCGCCTCGGGATTTTTGAATGATCCACTTGGTTACCCACAAAATATGCATAATATTCACCATCTGTTGTTTGTTGGTCATTGATTTCTCCGAACGGGCACCAGTATCATCTTCATTCGTCCCTTTCGTGGGTCATACTGTCCAATTTATCGTACTTGCTCGAGGGGCATGAGGCTTAGCATTCCCTTTGTTCAGAGATTTCTTGAAGATTTCTGAGCATCCCAGTGGCGGCCAACCCGATGATCATTTGCCATCTCCAGCGGCATCTCATAGCGTGTTCGGACCACCCTGTCTTCGACTCCTCGGAATAAGCAAAGGCATCCCTGATCAGACTGTATGGGTGTTATTTGTGTTTATCCAGAATTTCGTCACTAGTTCATTTTCGATAACATATCGATCAAATGAGCTCTACTAATTCTTTTTGCTCACTAGTTCTTTATTGCGTGCCTCCAAGTCAGAATAGTAGAGTTTGTCGATACCGTAGCTTTATTTTGTGCAACACCATAAAAAATTTTTTTGATGAACTCTTAATGAACTGTGATTTACAGAACTACATTCTTTTTACAGTAATGTGGCATGAAACATGGAACCTAACATGGAATAAAAGACAATGTCGATTTTGCCGGATGTTGAGCTGTTTGGTGGTTTGGTGATTGGTGATGGCGGCTCCGCAACATTACCCTCTGGACCATTCGGCGGACTGTCATCCACTGACGAGGTATCCTTCAATAAAAGATCATTGCCTTATGTTTCCTTTTAAGCCCGTCTTATGCGGGTTCCATTTTTCTACATAGCGAAAACTGAATACTTATTTAGTTTTTGTTATGGCTTCGGGAGAACAGCCAATTCTGACTTGGAGTAACTCGGGATCTGTTCACTGAGCATAGAAAGCTTCAAAGCGTTCCGTGGTATGTGACAGGAAGATGTGGAATGTTTGGATAACCCAGTCACAAATTCTAAAGCAACTGAGGGATCGATACCCATATCGCGCACACGGCGCTCCTGGTTACAGCTCTGTGAGCGCTTAAGCCGTCCTCGATCCTTGCTAACCCCTTTTTCGAGTAAAGAAACTACGTTTCTAGGCAAAAACTTTTGAACCTGGATCTTTTTTGTGAAGAATTATACAGGGCTTTCCTAGAGCTATCATTTCTCTTGCTATTCCGGAAATGTTACATCAGCCTAGAGCTTAGGGGGAACCTTTTGAGTCCCTTAAACAAGAACTATGGTGTCGCCGATAAAATATGTTATAATTTCAGTTACTTGATGTGGCCTTTTATAAAATGGTGATTTTCAGAAAAAAGAGCTGTTAACGGCGTTCAATGGTCGGGAATACGTTTTCAAAGCATTTTCCATGAAGCATACGAGTCGAGGTTTTTCTGATTCCCATGTGTTCTTGCTCTGTTTGTCAGTAGCAAGGCAAACAAGTGCAGAGGAAACAGTTCAACTGGTGAGTACAGCTATACTTGACAAGGAGTATTCACCGTGAATGAGCTCAATTTGAAGGAAAAGGATTGCGCAACGTGCACATCTTTTTCTTGTATTGTCAGTGCAATTGGTCGTTGCAGATCTTCAACACATCAGTGAACCGTCATCGTGGCCATGTGCACTGGTTGGAACTCAAATCGACAAACGTCTTTCTAGGCTGATCGAAAACTCTGGCTGTGGTCTGTTGAAGTATCTGCCTATGCCTATGAACAAGCGGAATCGTATGCAAAACGGATTGGTGCTAGCAAATACTTTGGTGTTACCAATTAATAAAGGTAGGTTGTGTATGAAGTAGTCCCTGTTAATTTACAGTTTCAAAAAGCTTCGAGCAGAAATGCGTCAATGCACCAAACGATTGTTCCTGCACCATTCTTGGACTTCAAAAAGTTTTAATTTTTGCTCGAAAGTCAGTTTTATGAATTAATGAGTGGGAAAAGAGTTAAGCGGTTTTTAAAAATTTTGTACCAACCTTCGAAAATCATGACCATAATTTCGAGCTAATCGGTTGTGGGAAGCTACCTCGACTTATAGTAAACCTTTTAAACATTTAAATGTTAGTTTGGAGGTGGACGGGTTGTGGTTTCAGAGTGCCTCAAATTGTAAATGTGGTGGATATGACCTGAAGGATGGTTGTGGCTATCTTCTCGGTAGGTGTCGGCTTACTAGCGGATGTTGTGGCTCCGTGGTGGTTATGTATCTTGGTGGCCGCTGACTTAGTTATAGATGAAGTGGTTTTAGTGGTGGTCGTTGTTACCTTAGCGGCACTTACATAGTTTTCTGGATTAGTTTCTTCTTTATCAGCGCTTTCTGGGGCTGAGTCGTTAGCGTTTTCATCACCGTTGTCATCGCTCCACTCCTTTTTCTTCTGATCCAACTCATTTCTTATTTCTGGTTCGCATGTATCACCAAATACATTCGAAAGAACTTGCAACTTTTTCTGAAAATGAAAACAGAGTAGGTGATCCAGTGATTTCCATGGTTCTTATACGAAAGCTCCCTCCCGAACTTTGTTCAAGTAGTTCTGTTAGGTGTAATTATTCAGTTGGATGCAGGAAAGTATTGTCGTCATGCAAAAATTACAATACTTTTCATACTGTTTGACTAATCGGCTTTCCTTTTGAAGTGTTTGTATGATATTGATAAGAGCATTATTCCATTGATTTCATGATTTCTTCAGTGGTCAGCCGTCGACTAGATTAAGCTACTTGCATTGAAGCTACCTCAGAAAGAAATTTCCAAAGGATTTCAGAGTGCACTCATCGAATGATGGCTGAATAACAGTGCTTGGCAGTTACATATTAGCATTGGAACTAAAAAGATATCGCAACAGATCCCAAATAGTTTCGCGATTTTTTGAAGTGGGCCCAATCCTCAGCTAACCCTGGGGCACGAAAGCGTTGGCATATATAGCAGCTAAAAGCGAAAAATCGGTGTCCCACAGGAACTATGTATATACACAAGGTGGCATTGGACTCCAGTGAAAAGGCTTACCAACACACCCAAAGTAGTCTCTTCGCTTAGATTGAATGGGCTTCGAATGCATGTTTCGTAGGTAATCACCAAGTAATGATAGTGGTGCGGTAACGAGCCCAATCTTCCTTGATCAACCGTTGAAAAGAATGGGTTGTAGCTTTCCCGAAGTGCTGTAGGACAGTAAGAGGCAAGATCCTCAATTCAAGGTCACCCAATTCGTTTCAATATTTCTAGAAAGGGGGTCTCAGTTTTTTTCAATGCAAACAACAAAATCGCATTGGAGTTGTATTGTTAGAACCCGGACCTCAAAGTTACAGTTCACAATTGTTCAATGTGAGTTTACTGGATACAGGGGAAAGTGCTGATACAGAATAGTCTACCGATGCCTAAAATTGCCGGAAGACCAGCTGAAATTTCGAAATAATAGGTCTTTTTCGAACATTTCCAAGTTGGATGATTCAGGAGGGCAATGAAGGTGTGTGTTTCGACGAGATTTCATTCGTAGGAGTTCAAAGCTCAAAGTCAGAAGTCAATGTTCTCTAATAAAAAATATCAAATATATTGAAAGGGTTTTCTTGTAGGCGTACCAGGGCGGGTGCGATACAGAGTGAATGTTTTTCACAGGTACATTCCAGCCAGCCTCCATCTTTTGCTTGGCACACGTTGAGCTGAAATGAGCAGACATTTTGTATTTGTTTGCGTTTGCTCCGATGGTGGTTTAACGGCAAGTGTCGTGCGCGTCACACCTATAGCCTCATGATTGGATCTCCCTTCAGGCCAGTCAAGCCTCCCGTCCGTCGAGGATCGCTTATCGCCACAGATTTGTCTATGAGGACGAAAGCACTTCATAAACTGGCCACCGCAAATCATCGTCTAGGAATCGAATACACGGACACTAATGCGAGTTTGGGTGGAAGTCAAATGCGAGCATTCGTTCTAAAGAAAAGGATTGATCAGTGCTATAGACTCTATCCTTCTGAAAATCACTCATGATGTGCGGGGTCTTCTCTGGCCGACAGCTAAATCACCGATGGAGCGATACACTCATCTGTAAATCTCTTTGGAAACCTGAGGTTAAGCGGCAGCCTAAATTTATCTTTCAGAGAAGTAATCTTGTATCATAATCTACTTTCACTCAGAGTCCACAGACACGAGATGGGTCTAGATCGGTTCGACATCGCCGAACCATGCGCGTCATAGGGCGCCACTTACCACTAGATTACTTCCGCCCTTCTCTGATATGTACTTGGCTCATATGGTAACTCGTGGGGAATAAACGAGGTAAATCAGTCAGTAAATCAGGGCTTTTATCCTCTCATGAGAGTCACTTAACTATAGTCACTATATTTATATAAGTGGTAGTGGAGCGATGCCATTCGGTTCTATTACCGCCTTCGCATTCTGTATTCGTTGACAGCAAACTATCTTATTCCTTACCAGTCGGGTCGCCTCATTCCTTACTTTTGTCAAGTAGTTAGAAAATTTAGTTAGAGGGGGGGGGGGGGGGGGGGGATGCATCGCGTTTATCTAACACGTAGGGCAAAAACGGTTCCGGGCGCGATAGAATATGGTTTCAACCTAGGCCTGAGGAGGGGAGGAGCGGCGGGGTAGGGGTAAGAAGATTCCCTCGTGCAAAAAGCGAGGATGGGGTATGAATATTCAATTGACTCACCCACCTCGGTACCCCTTCCCTCCTGGAGATCAGATCACAAAACTGTATGTTGTCAGTTGAGAAACGTTAATGAACACAATAATGGGCTAACCTCCTTATGCTGAATCGTAACCACAGTTTGAAGTACCCCCTTCACTCCACATTATTCACTTCACTACGCAGTACTCACTCTATTTCATCAACCTACCCACCAAGTTACTGCCCTATAGATAAGAAGGAAGTACGAAATAGAGCTGTCTTCCATAACACTTCCTTTATCGTAATCATAAAGTTTTGCGAACGGACAGACCGACAAACCGACATGCCAAGTTTCTGCTTTATAATAAGAGAGATTACTCGATTGAATGCTTACCCCCATTTTTGATCGTGATACATATCCTCGTTCGATCTTTAGTTCGCTGCACTCTTTTAGCTCCCAATTGAACTTTATGCAAGGACTGAAATCCTCGGATTCCTATAATTTTGCAGTGTCTCCTTAACAATGTCGTGGCAGCTTATGAAAAATGAGCATGGAAAATTTCTTTTGCATTCATTCTCGGTATAACTTCCATTAAGCTCTAATCGATACTAAAAATGTGTTTAGTGTGGAAGCAATGAGATTCCGAGCACAACAAAGGTTTTTTACTTCCGTTTTGTTAAACGTCGAGACATGGCGCAGTTGCTGATCACCTCTTTGTCAACAGTCTGTAGTTTGTACTTGGTCGATGAGAGTTAAGCATCAAGATAAGATTCACAGGCAGGCTGATTGAAAATCCACTCATAAAATGAGGAAATGTTGTGGTACTACGTGCTGGACGGCCGTTGGTGAAAGAGTACGGTCAGATAAGGTTCTGCTCTGACTCAGCTCAGAGCTTAGAACTTAAGCTCCATGTATAGGTTGAAATAGCCCAGTTAACAAAACTGACGTCTGAGTTGTAGTTCTGCGATCTAAACGAAAAGACCAATATGAACTCAGGAGCAATAGTGTCTGTGTGGAAGTGAGCAAGATGGTTAGGAATGGTAGAGAACTCCCACACTTGAAACCCCTCTCGGTTCAGCACGAGGTGGTGTAAAGGATATGGAGTCGGGAAATGTCACTGCTCATGAAAGTTTTGAACTATATGCGACACGTCTATTTACCGTGCCTTACCTTTAAAGCGTCGTTCATAATGACCTAGTTTCCAGTATCGGTCGAAAAGTGCCATCGTAGCCGCCGAACTGAAGCTAGGTCATCACGGCAGGCCTTTTCATAAACAGTCTTTACCACACGTTTCCCACGGAAATTCATGATGAGCTGATCGAGCCAGCCGATGTATGCCATGATGGAGGTTGAAATTTGATTTCGTTTATTTGCGAAACGCTATGATCCTATTGAACCATACCATTTATTGTGAAATCAGTGTGGGTCTAGTTTTGAAGTAACTTCCGCTTGATTATTTCCCCGTTTCACATGTGAAAACCATCGGCAGAGTCGTTTGGTATTACCCAAAATATTCGTAGACGTACCCTTTCTTTCATCGTAGTGTCACATACTGACGGTCTTTTCCCTTGGATTGAAACCTCGGGCAACGAAAGCAGCCGTAAGATGATCCACCAGAAGAACATCGCTGTGGTGTTGTCAGTTCAGAATGGAATGGAATGGACTGCACACTTATCCCGGATGCTACTTTTTAAATGGTGTACAATCAGAATAGGATCTTTGTTGATCGCTATCTTTGATAGTATTTGTGGTAAAGGCATATTCCACCCGATGTCATAAATAAATACACCGTTTAGAATAATTTGACTCTCAGGCAATATCAGAGAAACTTACTGTGAAAGAAATTTATTGGGGTAGCGCATCTGCATGGATGGTATATGAAGCCGGCTGATTCCTACATAAACGACCTTTTTCATCGTCTTGTGTTGACAAGGTCTAAAAAAAATCGAGGTCTTATGAAGAGAATGCATTTTAAAAAATCGTAGGTTGCTGTATAAATGCCCACCACTGGAAGGTAGCTTCTCGGTGTCGTTTTTCTAGAATCCTGACGAACACGATAATGAATTTTTCCGAAGCGAAGTGTCATTAATGGATGGATGCGAATCAGGGTCATGCAAATGGCTGCAGTACCGTTCTCATGAGCCGACCATATTTCTAAACTTCCCA